CACGAGCTGTGGGTAGTGACCGAAAGAACGAGATCGCGGATACAAGCAGCAGAAATGAGCTTCCTCCGAAGGGTGGCTGGCCTCTCCCTTGGAGACTGGGTGAGGAGTTTGGCCATCCGGGAGGGGCTCAGAGTAGAGCCGCTGCTGCTCCACATTGAAAAGAGGTGAGGTGGGTCGGGCATCTGATAAGGATGTCTCCTGTTCGCCTCCTGGGTGAGGACGTCCCACCGGGAGGAGGCTCCAGAGGACAGCGTGTCCTGGGAATGCCTTGGAGGAAATGGAGGTGGTGGTGGAGGAGGTGGCCAGAAAGAGGGAGGTCTGGGCTTCTCTGCTTAGGCTGCTGCCCCCACGACCGGCCCAGGATGAGGGGGAAGAAGATGGATGGCCAGATAGACACCACTGGTCTTTATTATCATACTGATGGATGGGGATGTGTAGTTTGGGACAGATTCATCAAAACATGTTTCTCTCTGGTCCTGCAGAGGAGAACCGTCCAGTCGATCACTGCCAGAGAGGCTCTCATGACTGCGATGCTCCACAGAGAGCACTGTGCCGCTACACCGGAGGCTCGGCCTACATCTGCTCCTGTCTGCCGGGGTTCGAGGGTGACGGCCGGGTGTGTCGGGGTGAGTTCACGGTGCTCGCTTTCTCAGCTGTTAAGGATGATGTCTCCTCCTTAATAAACAGATGCTCTGTAAACGTAAGAGAAACTGCTGCATGAACACAACAACTGTTTGGGGTCGTATGGCTGACAGGTATGTTCACCTGTCACAGAGTGAAGAGTTACTCCTCAGCTTTACAGGCTGGTATCAGTGTGTGCTGCACAGCAGTCAGTGCTTCACCACAGACCTCTGTCCACAGCTGCTGAGTGGTCAGACCGGCAGGTAAAGCTTTTACAGAGTAAGTGTGGCTCAGCACAGCCTCGTGCAATCCTCTCTCCAGCTACATGACAGAAACCCATCAAAGGCTGTGTGTGAAATGTTCAGCAGAGCCAGGACCTGTGTGTCGTCAGTTTACTCAGATTACAGGCTTTTTGGGGGTGAAAGGTCACCATGGGGCTCAGGCCCGCTCTCTCTTACAGCCTGTTTGAATCGCTGGATCTTTATGGGTTTGATGGATTAACGCGGACACTCGTGGCTCGAGTAATAATGCGTTCTAGTTCTAGTTTGCTGTTAGGAGTCATTTTCAGCTCATTGCTCTAAATATCTGTCAGCTGATTGGATGTCTGTCGTCCTGTAAAACTGTTTCCTTGAGTCTGGAGATGTTTGTCGTGCTGACAGACAGCGTGTAGCGTACACCGTGCTCCAGTGCTAATGGTACAGACTACAAAGTGCTTCAGAATCAGTTTACCGTATACTTACAAACAGAACCTGATGTTCGGGCCCTTTAGCTGCTGTTATTTAACCGCAGATCGATGCTGAAACATGCAGCCTCGCAGCTCAGTGTCTCAGACTGGCTGCTGAGATCAGGACTCTTTGTTCTCGTGGCTGCAGATGGCTCGTGATGACTGGCTGCATGTTTGGCCACAGAATGCAGTGAAGATGCTTTCCTCTCATAGCGTTTATGCTACCTGTCACTAACTCAGCCGTCGAGCCACTAGACTTGTGACCGCTGGCTGGATCTGAGCCTCTGTGGACAGAGGGCTGCAAGACAGGAGGACAAAACTATCGCTGCTATAAATACACCGTCTGGTTAAAGAGACGGGCTGTCAGCATGCGTTGTCGATTCAACGTCGGCTGAAGTCTACTCAGAGCCCGTAATTAGCAGCTGCAAAAAGGGGCAATGTTAAAACCTGCACCTGACCCAGACACCACGGGGTCATTTGGGTGTCTTGGTGTCACTTTAGGGAGCTTTCAGGTGATTTATCTTTAAATTCAGTCTGTGATGCACATAGTCATCTGGATTCTGCCCACAGACGTACGACTGCTCCGTGTCCATCGGCTGTTTGTGTTCGGGTCCATATTCGCGAGCAGTGATGACACAGCTGCTCTCAAAGACACGAGCAAACAGGTTTAGGAGGATCTTGCTGCTGCCAGGCTGTCGCGCCCGGGAACTCTGGCGTTATGGCGTCATTACAATAGACCCTGTGCACGGGAAAATGCTAACTTCCTGTTTTAAGACCGGATGTAAAGTAGCTTTATTTTGTGGTCAATCGCTACTGCGAAGGTGGACTCAAAGTCATATCCAAACACGAAAACGGAAAGATGGCGTTAAGTTACAAAGAGCAGGAGGTGGGAACACTCACCACTGCTGTGTCAAAAAAATCTAATGATCAACTTTGACGTTTGAAGAGTTTAGATCGATTGTTTGTTTACATCACTCAACACAAGCAGAGGACACATCGTCCACACTCAGCACATCTCTGTATAGTGACAGTTACTATGATTTAAACAGGCAAATGTTCAGCATTCAAACTACAGGTGAGCAGGGAGAGCTCAGTAGGTAGATGGTGGCCCCATGATCGGAAGGTCGGGGGTTCGACTCCGCTGAACGGCCACCCTGAGGTACCCCTGAGCAAGGT